ATGTTAACAGCTAATATGTACAACATATATCTAGCATTCCATCTCACGTATGATTATTCGTCTATTAGCGAAAAGAAAATTCGTATTTTCTTGCTGGCTTCTTGGTGTCTCAACTTTCTGATCTCTTGTATGGTCTTGTTTGATAATAGCCTACTTGTCCCACATCCAACTTCGATGGTAGATTTCAAACTAACAAAATCAAATGTCTGGATTGTATTGATTCAGATTGCGAATTTGGTCATTTATCCCACTGTCTGTATTGTATATTCGTTTATACAAATTAAGAAACTCCAAACTTGTAACAGAGCTTTAAGTAATGCGGTCCAAGGTGGTTTTCGGGCAGGGTATAAACTAGCCTGGCTGTTATTCAGGTTTTACATGATACAAATTATATCACTGTTACCTTATATAATTTTGGTCTATTTTGGTCACACACTTAGAAATTACGACATTGGTGTTCAGTGGCATGGGGTACAAAGTGTGTTCATGGTAATAGCCAACCTGGCACCGATTTTTAAATTACCAATATTTGTCTTGAGAAACAAGGAATTGAAAAAAATGCTGAAATGTAACAGCTGTAACACGGTTGTTCCTGCTTGACAAAGTTGAGTCTATAGGAATAAACCAGAAACGCTTAAGAGTCTTCACCGGGATGCCCGAGAAAGACCTGGTCGCCTTTAAAGTGCTGTCAAATGTGTATAAAGCTTTGTTTATCGGATACTGGATACTGCTCTCTCCTTCATGAAAGAATTATTCACATTCTACAAACAGGGAAGTCATCTTTCCTATTAATAGTGCCCAAAAGAATAACCAGAGAAAGGTCGACGTTTGTTAAATTTAAATCGGAGTTAAAAATACGCTTGTTGTCCCCCGCCTTTCGAAGAAAGCCGGGGACTATTGAAATGGGTTCGTCCGTCTGTCTGACTGTCTGTCCGTCCGCCAGTCTGTCTGTCCGTCACACTATTTAGGACACAATTACTCTCTTTCTAATTGAGCTAGAATTCAAACTTGGTGTAAGTGTTTATTAGGTCAATGCCATGATGGAGTGCGAAGATGAGCATTTTCTGCTTATGGCAAGAAGAGATAAGCAATTTGATTTGTTGATGCTTTGAGACAAGATAACTTTAGGTCTAATCAAGTGAGAGTGATGAAACTTGGTGTATAGTTTCATTACACCAATACCTTGACTAAGTTCGATAATGAGCATTTTCTGCTCAGCGTAAGTAGAGCGATAAGCATTTTGATTGGCCGAGACTTTGGAACACAATAACTCTCCTTCTAATTGAGCTAGAATGATCAAACTTGGAGTAGGTGTTGATTGGGTCAATGTCGTGATGGAGGTCGAAGATGAGCTTTTTCTGCTTAGGGTAAGCAGAGATAAGCAATGTGATTGGTTGAGTGATAAAACTTGGTGTATAGTTTCATTACACCAATGCCTTGACCAAGTTCGATAATTAGCATTTTCTGCTCAGGGTAAGCAGAGCGATAAGCAATTTTATTGGTCGAGACTTTGGAACACAAAAATCTCATTCTAATCGAGTTAGAATGTTCGCACTTGGCGTAGGTGTCTATTAAGTGAATGCCTTGATGGAGTTTGAAGCTGAAAATTTTCTGCTTAGGGTAAGCAGAGATAAGCAATTTGATTGGTTGATGCTATGGGACACGATAACTAAGTTCTAATTAAGTGAGAGTGAGTGTATAGCTTTATTACATCAATACCTTGACTAAGTTCGATAATGAACATTTTCTGCTGAGGGTAAGCAGGGCGATAAGCAATTTGATTGGTCAAGACTTTGGAACACAATAACTCTCCTTCTAATTGAGGTAGAATGTTCATAATTGGTGTAGCCTAGACGTTCATTAGGTGAATGCAATGATGAACATTTTCTGCGTACGCTAAGCAGAGATAAGCAATCTGATTGGGTGATGCTTTGGGGCACGATAAGTTTGGTTATAATGAAGTGAGAGCAATGAAACCCCGAATATAGATTCATTATATCATTACCTTGACTAAGTTCGATGGTGAGAATTTTCTGGGTAGGCTAAGGAGCGATAAGCAATTTGATTGGTCAAGACTTTGGAACATAACAACTCTGCTTTTAATTGAGGTACATATGTAGAATGAGGCGCTATTGAAGATGACTAATAATAATAGTATTGTTGTTGTGTCACAATTTGTATTGCCGTGGAATTATAAAACTTCTATATATATCGGTGATAAGGAGTTATGTCCTTAGTTTCACTAGAATGTCCAAGAATGAGATTTGCTGATCGCTCGTTTCAATTGTGAATTTGATGTTTAAATTGCATATCTGCAACATTCCCAATTCCTTATTCCAAGTAGAAAATGCATCGTTTAGTTGATTTTTTAAATACAAACTGTAATCTACGCCATGTTTTTTTTTTCTTCTAGAATTGGTTATACTTATATCTCTAGAAATTATCCTATTGTTAAATTACTTAATTGTGGCAACACCTTGGTCCCCATCACTATACCACGAATGGTTTTGTAATTTGTTTTGCCAAATCTACGATTATTGTTAGTAAGTTTTATTTGTTTGGCTTTGCGATATGTATAAATTACATTATAAATAATGCATGATTAATATAATATGCATATTGTACACTGATTACATATGATTCATTCTGCTATTAAATATTAAATATCGTCCTTGAATTATAACGTCCATGAATTACATATATTCCTGGTATTACATGGTGTTAATATATAGGTGTAATACTATCGGGTTTAATTTGTTTCGTCAAATGTAAGGTTATTGTTATGTATATATTACATTATAAATAATGCACGATAAATATAATTTACATATTGTACATTGATTGCATATTATTTATTGTTGTATTAATTGAAGTACATATATTCCTGCTATTACATTGTGTTAATATATGTTAAACATTGTACATGGTGTTAATAAAAACATTATCTTAAACATCGTACATGAAAAAACCCCACAATATTGTTAGAAGTTAAATATCGTCCATGGATTACAAATACCTTTATTCTATTATTAAATGCTAAATATAGCCCATAATTACAAATACATTTTTTATTACAAGATCAAAATCGATTACAAATACTTTATTCTGTTATTAAATGTTGAATATCGTCCATGAATTATAAATAAATTTTACAATATCGTCCAGCGATTACAAATATTTTATTCTTTTACTGCATGTTAAATATCCTGCATGACTTACATGTACTTTTTTAAGGTGTTGTATGTTGAATATCGTATTCTGTGTATTTCGTGTTTGAATTGCATATAAATTATTAATTTATTACATGTATAGCACATGTATTACAAATACTTCTGTTATTACATAAATCTATCTGAATTGCATGAACTATGATATGTATTACTGGTCGTACACGCATTATATTTGTTACTTGATTGATAAATATCGTACATGAATTATATTTGTTACCGGTTTGATATATATCATACATGAACTATATTTGCTACTGATTTGATAAATATCATACATGAATTATATTTGTTATTGGTTTGATAAAAAGCATACACGAATTATATTTGTTATTGGTTTGATATCTATAATATATGGGTTATATTTTATAGACATGTTATTGGTTTTATAAAATAGCATGCATGGGTTACAATTATTGGTAACTGGTTTGATAAATATCGTACATGAATTATATTTGTTATTAGTTTTATAAATATCATGCATGGGTTATATTGGATACCGGTTTTATAAATATAGTATATGAATTATATTTGTTACTTCTGTTATGAATATCGTACATCAATTATATTTGTTACTGATATTGAAAATAAAGCAATATTTAAAGTATTAGATCACATATTAACTCGGCGCCCGAGGGTTACAACGCAATGCCAAGTATACCCATCTCAGGACATGGTTTATATACTTTATCCATTTCGATTACAATGGATGGGAGGGGGCGAAAGGTTAACGCGTTAGATCGCAAGGTCTGCTATTGAGTTAAATGCTTTGGTTTCGATTTCCCGCTTGTAAGTGACAAGGAGTAAGGTAGCCTGTACAACCCGTGTGTTTTCCCGGGCCCTACGGTTTCCACAGGTAAAGACCCCTATGCACAAGCAAATTATTGAAATAAAATTGAACCATATGTTGGTCCCGAAATGACCTAGTTTGTGTTGAATGTTGGGGGAAGCTTGAGTCCCATCGATACTCTGTGAAGGAAGACATTTTAATAGGAATTATTGAACAAACAACACATTAGCTAGTGGTATTAGGGACAAAGTATAGTCGTCCAGTTGAACCAAAAACCTAGGTCCCGTGTACCGTGTAAAGAACACTAGGCCATACCGCCGCTCTCCGGGCACAATTCCCCCCGATATTACAATGGCGGATGCCCGTCGTCATTAGCCTAGTCGGAGCAGAACAGTGGAAATTGTATGTCATTTCTGTTAACGACAATGGTTTCTATTGGTGTGAATATTTCTTTCTTCACCTCATGGATTTATACTTGCTTTGTCGGTATTTTTTTGTAAACGTCCAACAGGAAGAAATGTCAATAGGTCTTTTTGAACAAAGAAAACACTAGCTATTAACTAGACTATTACGAATAGTGTTGTATTATATGAACACGGACTTAGGACGCGTTTGAACTATAAAAGTCTTCTGTTGTTAAATTGATAACTGTGGATCTATACACAACAAGTGCAATTTAAACTTCGGGGCCTCTATTTCTAGAGGAGCCCCAGCAGTGACTTCAATCCACATCATTCTAAAACGGCGACACGATTGCTATATGTATTGAAATACGAAGGAAATCTTATATTCAGATGTAAAATATTTAACATCTCAACTTTCGTTTAAATAGCGATATCAAGCTATTGTTCTGATATTTCTAAGTACCCTTTTTATAGCTCGGGTAGGCTCGGTATATTGTCACGTCAAACAGGAAGAACGTTTGATTGGTCTTATAAAATCGAATGAGAACATGAGCTATAGTGAAACTATTATAAATTTTGTTGTGCCGACATAGGTTGATGACGCACCCGACCTTCCTATTGAACAAGGCCTATATATAAACCTTAAGAAGACGGTAATCGGTATTTCGATACATGACACCAGAATAACCTGATCAGAAAAATAGCTTTATCAATAATCGATACAAGAAATTTTATATTTATATGTTTAATATTCATTATGGCATCCATCATTAAGGAAGATATCGAGTTACCCTGGGAGTTTGAAGGTTGTCTAGCGTTTGGCTTACACAACGTTTTTACACCCCAGGTAAGTGTATATCATATGTATTCACCGTTAGTCTCCAGTCCGCACGTTCCAGTTGCCCGGCACATTATGTATTATACCATGGTTGTAAAGGCCGACTCTGTTCTTCACTCAAGGAAATATATTTGATTTCGCCATAATTCGTTATATCAGGACGAGATGATGGATACCTATGGTCTAAGATATTTATTTGGATAACTCACAAGATATTCAGACTTCACTCACCTAATTAACTCAAATCTTGCTCTTAGTCATTTGTAAAGACGCAAAAGCACTGCACGGAACAGTATATTTTAAAACTTAATAAACCTATATATATAAAGTATTACACTATTATAATATTGACAGGAATGTAACGAATTGATTGAAAAAACAGAAGAGATGGGATATAAACCTGCTTTGATAAATGACGGTTATGGGTAAGTTGCATTCGCTATTAGAGATTGAACAGTCACTTCTTTATAGAATAAAACAGGTTGATGATAAAAATCTACATCAGATACATGGTGCACCGTCGCCCACTCACCTGTCCTGACTGCCAGCTACTTTCCGTTCCCAGGCTAAGTTCCATTGTTTGTTAAACGATTAGGGGATATCGTATGAGATCATGTGATGGTTAAACGTGGCCTACATATACGTGTGTTAGCTAACTGTAATAATAAAAACAATATAAAATATAATAGTATAAATATAAAATGCTATAATAAGACTATAATATATAAAGTGTTTTTATAAAAATATAATAAATATATAAAGTGTTATAAAAATATAAAATCTAGTAATAAAAATAGAATGAAATAAGAATTATAAAATGAAATAAGAATTATAAAATGTAATAATTATAACAAAATATAACAGGTTAGTAAAATATATATTTATTTTCAGACAGGTTCTTGAAACAGATGTCAGAAATAATACTCGATGTATCTGGGATTCGAAGGAACAAGCTGAAAGAATGTGGAATCGTGTTAAAGATTATGTTTGTAAAGAATTCCAAGGCTATCCAGTTATAGGATTAAACGAAAGGTACAAGATCTATTTTTAATTTAAATTAAACGATTGTATTTGGGGAAGTAGGAGTCGAGCACGTTCTTGAAATACCTCTACAATGCTGTCACAAATAAATAACTGTAATACGTTTCATTTCATTAATAATTTAATATTTATTTATATTTTTGTTTTTTATAGATTGCGATTTTTAAGATATGATCCAGGAGAGTATTTTAAACCACATTATGACGGATGTTATGTACGAGATAATGGTGAAAAAAGTTTGATAACTTTACAACTTTATCTAAATGAGGTAAACCTATAATCTCGAAATCACTATTGTCACAATTTGTAACAAACGGCCCCCAACTTGTACAGCAACGTCGTTTCGCCCATCTGGTGAACCAATGTGTAACGATTTGAGATTTGAGACACTAATATGTTGGATATATATAATGAAACGATTGATCCCCACATTTTGGTAAAGAGTTTCATTCCTTCTTATATTCATTCGTTGCTACAGTAAATTTACCCCAAAAATATGTTTCCTGAATTCAGACGCAGTTTGTGTACGTATATTTTACAGGGATTTAAAGGTGGATCAACAACATTTTTATCCTCGCGAACAGGGGACCGAGTGGAATTTGTTCCTAAAACAGGTAAACTATTTAGAAACTAACTCGCAGTACGTATGTTAGGACTATAACCAACTAACGTTGTTAAGATGCGCTGGAGGTCCAAACAAAACGGTCTCACCTCAGTTTCAGCATGTTTTTGGTCATCCATAGGCTAACGCCACTGACACTTACTTTCAGACAACAAATTTAACTGACGAAAGTAAACTGTCAACAGACTGGGAGTCATCAGCATTCAACTAGTGATTTATAGACTGTTGGCTTAGTATCTCTCCAATGGATTCCGTGTATAGGCTCAGCTCGGAACTGACCTATGGGGCATTCCACAAGAAAAGGCGACCGGTTCAGATAGTGATTCGCCATCCATAAACAATTTCCAAATATATACGATGTTATGTTTTCATTCACAGACGACTGAAAATAGACGTGATTGGCGATTACTGACATATCAGCGATACAGATTATATAACGCGTTTCCTTTCTAGAAGAAACAAATTAACCATTTTCGGTCAATCCCACCTCACAATCGAGACAGTTCTAAAATTAAAAATAATACTACCCGTCATGTAATCTTCAAAATAATACACCAATGATAAACAACATGATTACAAGAAAATAATACTTATTCTGATATCATCTGGTTGTACACGGAGCTGAAGCTATTCCTGATTTTGTTTCAGGAGCTGTACTAATATTTCAACATGATATGCTACATGAAGGTTCATTGTTAGAAAAAGGTAGAAAATATTCGTGTAGAACGGATATTATGTTCGGTAAAGATAAAATTCTCGTGTAGAAGAGGTATTATGTTCGGTAAAGATAGTGATTGATATGCACTGTCTTTGTTAATAATAGTTGTGTAGGTCCCTATTCCTTTTGTCATAATGTTCCTTAATATATGAAACGAAAATAAAACGCTGTTTATTTAGTATGTCTATATTTCGCTTTTGTTAACAGTTGTCTTTTATCGCTTGTCCAACCTACCCCTACGCGCAAGCGAATTATTTAATTGAAATTAAACCATGTGTTAGTCCCAAAATGACCTAGTTTGTGTTAAACCCCATTTCTCTCTTTCTCGTTGTCTTTCATGTATTATGTTAATCATTGTCTATTAGTTTATACATATATTGTTTTAATCATTGTCTATTAGTTTATGTTAATCATTGTCTATTAGTTTATACATGTATCATTTTTATCATTAAAGTTAATAGGTAAAGATGTCGTGTGTATGATAATGAACAATCCATGCTAGATCATGTCTAAACCTAAAACGTTTATAATAAAATAAATTAAATAATCCCATTAATTATGTTTTATGTAAGATCCCAGAGAGAATAGAGAATCTTCATAGATTTATCCACCCAGTTATTTGATTTCCTGTTTCACAATTGTTTAATTACGAAATGAAATGACATGGGGTTTAACGTCCCACTGTGCTGCCCCGATTGGGCTAATGAAGACGGGCATTCCAATAAATACACGGGACCTCGGTTTTTCGTCACACCCGAATGACTAGACAGCTGCACCACAGACACGTGGAAACCACGCCAGAAATTGCCGATGATCGAACACGCTTTTGTCTGTACACCCCTTTGTCTGTGGTTTGGAGATAGGGGCGCCTTCTCTACATCGTGTGCGATATCACCTTCGGTGGAAGCGGACGTTAAACACTTTTCATTTCAAATATATTGACAACTATGTTATAAATAGACTATGACGACTGACAGTACTATAAATAGAACATGATACTAGTCACGTTGTCAGTAAACACGTATAAACATTGAACGTTTTCAGGTGAACTTAAAGAAAAGAAACCACACTGTATTAACTATACTAGTGTACATTTGTTGCATTGTTTTTGGATTATCGATTAGGACTTTGAATTATGACGTCACGGGTTAAAGGTGCTCAACTGTGAATATTAGTATATTTTAACCTGTTACAGGTAATTCGACAACAGGTAACTGATATATATATAGGTTAGATGTATACATATGTGCGTGTGTACATAAACAATATAATGACATTGAAGGTATGATATGCTTATAAATACTATACTATATTACAGGTATATCGACAACATATAAGCTATATGTATGTATATATGTATGTATGTATATATGTATGTACATAAGCTATATGCATGTATATATGTGTATATTTACATAAACAATATGACACTATACCAGTTGAAGGTATGATATGCTATGAATACTGTACTATATTAGTATTAGTAAAAGTAGTATCCGATTTAAAAACCATAAGGAAGTACCAATTATTCAACAGTGTGGAAGTATCGGGTTTATGATATAGTTTTTGAAATAGCAGTTTTAATAGAATTCTCGGTGTATACTCATCAACATTGTGAGGGTATCGGCTTTATGATATCGTTTATGAAATAGCGGTTTTAATGGACTTTTCGTTGTGCAGTCATCAACAATGTGAGGGTATCGGGTTTATGATATGGTTTATTAAATAGAGGTTTTAATAGAACATTCGGTGTACAGTCATCAAGATATTGTGTTTATATGTCGATTGATTATTCAACATGGCATCCATTGTTAAACAAGATATCAAGTTACCTGGTGAATTTAAAGATAGCTTAGCTTTTGGCTTATACAACGTGCTTACACCGCAGGTAGGTCGTTTAATTTATATCTACAGGTAGATCATATGAATTATATCTACAGGTTGTTCATTTATATTATAACTACAGGTGTAGACAAGACCAATGATTAAGGGCGGATGGGGTGCATAGATTTCCGAACAGGATGTTGCCCGGGACAGCTAACAAAGGGGTGAGCGACATAAAGGCTTCTGGGCGCTTTGCCCCAGAAAATCTTAGGGTTTTTGGTTGAGCATGAGTATTGGTCTAAACGTTATTTCGGAATATGGTGGCGGGTGGGGATGGGATGAGGGGAGGGGAGGGAAGCATAAGGTCTGTCATTGAGTCAAGTTGTGTGTTGTTGATTCCCAGACCGTACCTGACAAGAGTAAGCTCGCCTGTTCACCTACGTTGGTTTTCTCCGGGTCCTCCGGTTTCGCCCACCGCTATAAGACCCCTACACGCAGACGAAGTGTTAAAATGAAATTAAACCATTTGTTAGTCCCGAAATGTTACTCTCTCTCTCTCTCCCCCCTCTCTCTCTCTCCCTCCCTCTCTCTCCCCCCTCTCTCTCTCTCTCTCTCTGAATAAATCAATAATATTGTACGAGCGTTGGTTATTGCTTTAGATAAGGTTATAATGAGTTATTAATGATATTGACAGGAATGTAAAGAATTTATTGATAAGACGGAAGAGATGGGATATGAAGCTGCTCTATTAAATATTGGAAGCGGCGTGTAAGTTTGATTCTTTAATATCTTTAACATGTCAGTAAACCCTGTCGACGGTCGGGAGTCACGGTGGCACAGTGAGTAAGGCGCTGACTCACTAACCACGATTGAGCCCCATGTTGGACGTTGTTCGGGAAAGTTGCCCGGGATTCTACCGAGTGGTTATCTCTCCTGTCAGTGGTGCCTGGCGGAAGGTCTGGCAAGGAACAGCGCCTAGTCTGTCTCGTGTACTCCTCTGTGTGCACGTAAAAGAATCCTTGATATTGTAGTAGCGCCGCTGACCGGGAAAGGTTTACCCAATAGAGGATTCCCTTGCGTATGTGCGTCTTTGTTGGCCATGATGGTGCGGAAAAGTATGGCATTAAACATGCGCTTTAGATCATAAGGTCTGTAATAGAGTCTCCGCACAAGCGAAATATTGAAAAAATATGACCTAGTTTGTGTTGAGTCAAAGTTTTCGCCAACGCTTCATCCCATTCTCCGCTAGATCTCCACCCTGTTCCACTTACAAAGGGGTACCACACTATTCCGGACACAATAGGGATCGAATCCCGGACCGTCTGGCTAGTAACCCAGTGGCTTTCTAAATACTTATATTTCATCTTTAAGAATAATGAAAACCGAGATAATTTTATTTTTTCCAAACTCCGGATAGAACTTTGCGATAGGAACTAGGAACGCAAATGCTTTGCCTTGTCTTGTTTGTATTTGCAGGTTTGCAATACAATTACTTTAATAACAATACAATATATTAATGATAAAATAATTTATGTTTTCAGACAAATTCTTGAAACAAGCGTAAGAAATAACACTCGATGTATCTGGGATTCCATAGAACAAGCTGACGTACTCTGGGGTCGTGTTCAAAAATATGTCGCTTCTGAGTTCAAAGGTTATCCAGTTTTAGGGTTAAACGAAAGGTATGGCTTAGATTTATAAGTGAACTTCTTCATTCTACATCAGCGTGTTGATATAGATCCCTAGAAGCGGAGGGGACAATTTTAAAGATTAAGTGCCATACAAGGGTCTGGTGATGGCGTGCGCGCTGTATCATAAGGCCTGACATTGTGTCAACTGGCGTGGTTTCGATTCCCCGGTTGTACGTGACAAGGAGTAGGGTCGCCTGTCCAACCTCGTGGGTTTTTGGGGTCCTCGGGTTTCCTCCCACTGCTAAAGACCCCTACGCGCAAGCGAATTATTGAAATCAAAATTAAACATGTAAGTCCCGAAATGTCCTAGTTTGTGTCGAGTGGAGATGACCCCCCCCCCCCACCTCTCTCTCTCTCTCTCTCTCTTCACGCCACTGTATTTGTTCCACGCCGTCTAAAATAATTTGATAGGCGGTGATCAACAACATGACGTTATAGTCATTAAACACACGCAAATGCACCGCCAAAATGTTGCTTGATGACGTATCCATGTCTTCAATACAAAACTTTGGTAAATAAAACAAATGTGAAGAAACAAAGGAAACCATTGCCTACAATACCCGATTTGGATGTAAGGAGTTTATTCTTAATAAAATAAATTATTTTACAGACTGAGATTTTTAAGATATGATCTAGGAGAATATTTTAAACCACTTTCATTAATAATTTAATCTTTATTTATATTTATGTTTTTAACAGATTGAGATTTTTAAGATATGATCCAGGAGAATATTTTAAACCACATTATGACGGAATTTATGAACGAGATAATGGAGAAAAAAGTTTGATAACTTTACAACTTTATCTAAATGAGGTATTTTTCAGTTCTTCGGGTTTTATCTTTAGATACAAACCACGGTGTATTTATCTCTTTGGTCTCTAGGATCGTTATTTTGGATATAAAACACCCTGGGGGACACAGCTCCCCCCAGTACTTCAGATGGCCAAAGATCACTAAAGATTTCCCCATTGACTCCAATGTTAATTCTCGTATCTTAGACCGGCTCTAACTTTTTCCCAAATTTTCGTTGGGTAGAACGCTTTCATCCACAGATGGAGCAACATGTGGCAACCACTTGCCCAAAAGCACGTATGAGGTTCTTCAGGAAAAACTTGAGATACACAAGCTGGAAGTAGAGACAAGTAAACATGCATATTCAGGCCCTACATTTCAACCTAACCAACCTCTCAACTCTTGTATCCTTCCGCATCAAAATTATGAATATTCACCAAAACCTGACAGAAAATGTATTTTCAAACCCTTTTCTTCGATTCTACACCAAAAAGTCAACAAAAATCGCCATGCAAAAGGGGGAAAAAGGAAAAGGGAGAGGAAAACTAAAAATAGCTTGGTGATCTGTGTCCAGATTCCTTACAAAATGCCCTGAATGAAATAGAATTTAACATCCTGCTTTTCTAGCAATCGGGCTAATGATGTCAGGCATGCGCACAGGACAGCGGTGTTTACCTCGACTCTTTACTGACAGCCGACTATGAAAGGTTCTATGACTGCACGGCCTAACCACTACACTGTTTCTCAGTCTAACCACTAAACGATTTTCCCTCGCTGGTTTATTACTTTGAATTTAAATTTGAAGGGACCAAGACTTGTCAGTAGCAAGCAGCCATTGAAAACCTACAAAACTACTCTAAGAATGGTTCCTGTCTTATTCGTTTACGTTTGTAGATAACTCTGTGATTAACGCGCTAAATTCTAAACGTCTATAGATGTTTTCCCTTAAAATTGAACTCCGATTACAAAACTACACAAATAATTAAATAAAAGAAAAGTTAACTCCCTAAACAACCGCACGCCATACTTGTTTTCAATTTGTAGAACAAACATGGCGATCGCTTAGGGGTAACAAAAACACAGGCAGGTCAAGCAAACTGTCCATATACGGTTAGCTAGTCAACTACCAATTACCTCCTGACTGATTGACGGTTTTTTCAACTATCACTACTATCAGCTTAATGAAAACATTATTGCTACACAATTATTATATCTGATCAGGTACATATTATTTTACTAATTAGACGAAATAAGTCAACCACGATGTACTTTTGCTGTAAACAAAATAAGAGTAAAACCGTCTTACTCAAAACACTAACTATGCCAACGCCATTCAATTCTTATATTTCGTTTAATGTTTTGGCAACAACGTAGAAACACCAAATAATTTTCTGCATCATAAAGCCTAGTATTAAAAAAGTATCCAAACCAGCAATAAAACTGTTCTTCTCTCCATCAAATATGTTCTCAATAGGTATGCACAATTATACTCAGATTTACAAAATCAAGAGCGTAAACCTAAACGGGGAGATAACTCCACAATTGCAGCAATTCCACTAATCTTATATACACAAAAACAAAAACAATCCATTGCTCCGTAAACGGGGAGATTACTCCATAATTCCATTTTTCCCTATATCCAAATGAACAATTCTATTAATCAAATATACAAAAAGAAGAAATGAATTTAAATGGGGTTTAACGTTTTTATGGGCTAATGAAGACGGGCCACGATAAGCTACAACACTCATTACCCGGTATTACCATGTACAGTCGAATAAACACTGATTCAAATGAATAAATGTTCCTTGTTTATCATGTACCTACCCGCAAATTATGAACAGCTAGTAACCATATACTACAGAACAAAAACATAGTTTATTGTTTAACTAAACCTCGGTCATAGACATTCCTTTTCCTGTTTATTATCGTAGGGATTTATTGTCATTTGTTTGAACTCATTGGGAACTCGTCTATTGTTTTATAAACTGATGGGACAATTTCTTCCATATTTTGTCACTGATTTTCATATCGAAGCGATCTGCATGTTGTAATGGGCATATTATACATAATGTCGCCATTATTACAAGACAATTATTATTCAACGTGGCCATTATTACAAGACAATTATTATTATACGTGGCCATTATTACAAGACAATTATTGTTATACGTGGCCATTATTATAAGAAAATTGTTATTATACGTGGCCACTATTACAAGTAAATTGTTATTATACGTGGCCATCATTACAAGTAAATTGTTATTATACGTGGCCATATTACCAGAAATCTTTGTATTGCTTCGCCAAGCAACTCATGGGGTTTTATGAATTGCACAAAAGTCTTTACAGTCTTTATTTGTTACCATAGTAACTAATTGTATGTTTGTATACTGGTTTTCAGGGTTTTATATCTGAGAAAACGAATGAACGTGTGGGATTTGTTACCTTAGTTACTATGTTTGTATACTGTTTTTTCAGGGTTTTAAAGGGGGCTCAACAACATTTATATCTGAGAAAACGAGTGAACGTGTGGAATTTGTTACCATAGTAACTATGTTTGTATACTGTTTTTTCAGGGTTTTAAAGGGGGCTCAACAACTTGTATATCTGAGACAACTGGTGAACGTGTGGAATTTGTTACCATAGTAACTATGTTTGTATACTGTTTTTTCAGGGTTTTAAAGGGGGCTCAACAACTTTTATATCTGAGACAACTGGTGAACGTGTGGAATTTGTTCCTAAAACAGGTACATCTAATATTATTACATATTCCCCAATTACAAAAGATAAAGATATTATATAATGTGATTAGAGAAATATCAGGTGAAAAAATCTTCATTTGTGGCATCATAAAATCATAAAGCTTTAAGGTAGCCAAGTCTCTAACTCAGTATCATCCAAAGTCTTCGACATGGAAAACACGATTTATTTGTCGGTTTAAATCAACATTGATGTTGTGATCTTACCGGGAAAAGATGTTCTTCTGTGTACCATAATGCGTTTCAGTCTCATTTCTAACAAGGGACTCGAAGATCGAGGCTAGACATATACCACAATGCAAGTCATGGCGAACGGTGACGGCATATTCTTATCTGGAGAGCATGCGCAATAAATACTATTTAGACTGGGATAACCAGACGCTAGAGATTACCAATCATTTCCGTTTTTACTCTAATTTCAAATCAGTTATGTACGACGAAATACGTCAGAAGTCTCAATCGAATACATTAACCGAACACAGTTTTTATGGGATACACTCACTGATTTTATTGTAAAAGCACATTTCGACAGGTATCCTCTTGTCGTTATGACCTTTAGTAATCTTGGGGTCAATACAGAGAATAAAATAACAGTCTTTGTAAATGGTTTCACTATGTATTTCATATATATTCAAGTGAAGTTTACTAAATGCCACTGTGCTTGATAATGACAAGAGGATATTTGTCGAAACGTTGTGCTTTTTGAATAAAACTAGTCATTGTTTTCCATAAAAACTGTGTTCTGTTAATGTGTGTTCCGATTGCTAAATGGCACTCAAATATTATTATAAATTCATGTATTAATAATACTATTATAAATCTATAAATAAATATTAGAAAAAGTTTTCCTGACATGATTAAGCTAGAAGAAAATATTCATTTTCATTTTCCTGAATTACTGGAATTTTTATTAGCTAAATTTGTGTTTTTTTCAGGAGCTGCATTGATTTTCCAACATGATATTCTACACGAAGGTTCATTGTTAGAAGAAGGTAGAAAATATGCGTGTAGAACAGATATTATGTTCGGTAAAGATAAAATACACATTGCCAGATGATGGCGATGCTAACATAAGTGACGAACTCTGCTGATGATGTGACAAATTCGATCGACGATGTTTGCCGATATGATAAATTATATTGCCATGCTCACCGATGTGATGAATTCTATAGACGATGTTTACCGATCATGTGATAAATAATATTGACGATGTCTACCGATGTGATGAATTATATTCATGATGTGATAAATTATATTGTCGATGCTTACCGATGTGATGAATTCTATAGACGACGTTTACCGATGATGTGATAAATTAAATTGACGATGTTTACCGATGTGATGAATTATATTGACGACGTTTACCGATGTAATGAATTGTATAGACGATGTTTACCGATATGATGAATTATATTCATGATTCTTACTGATGTGATGAATTATATGGATGATGTTTACCGATTTGATGAATTCTTTTCACGATGTTTACCGATATAATGAATTCTATTCACGATGTTTACCGATGTGATAAATTTTATGGACGATGTTTACCGATGTGATACATTATATGGATGATGTTTACCGATGTGATGAATTATATTCGCGATGTTTCCCGATGTAATGAATTCTATGCACGGTGTTTACCAATGTGGTGGAGTCTATTGACGATGTTTATCGATGTAAAAAATTATATGGACGATGATAAATTATATAGACGATGTTTACCGATGTGATGAATTATATTCGCGATGTTTCCCGATGTAATGAATTCTATTGACGATGTTTACCAACGTGGTGGATTCTATTGACGATGTTTACCGATGTGATGGATTCACGATGCTTACTGATGTGATAAATTATCTTCACGGTTGCTATGGACGTCATAGGCAATATGTATTCTTTCGACAACGATTACTTTACGTATTAGTAATTTTTGACGAAATGTAATCACATTTTCGATGATTCAAAACCGAAAAGTTTCTAATCACGATTGTAACACAGCATTTATGTTACCCAAATTCAGGTTATTTTAATAGTTTAAAAGCACCAACTTTTCCATTAATTGATTATATACATTATCTTGGAGTGTTTCTAAGTTTCACCATACAGTCAACAAAATGTAATACCACGCTATCTACGGGGCATGGCTAACGAAGGTGATAATTGAAAATATCATTAAGAAAATCAAAATCCGTTAATTGGATGAGTTTGACGAACGGCTGATTTCATGCACATTTAATGGATTTTGAAGTGCAAAGCGATTCGTTCAAGCAATTCGGTGCCACCCTTTTTTCATCGTATAATCTAACTTAGCTGAACAACTGTCGATTTTTATCCAATTTGGCTGCACTGTTATGACATCAATCAATACTCGTAAATGGCAAGTAAAAAAACTATTAATAAACCGCCTAGAAATATCAGAAATCTACTCCAATTATCATTATAATGTGTATGCATATATTATATTATTAAGAGTTTATATTTTACAATGTTCAATAAAAGCTATTATATAGATGTAATGAATGAAATGGGGCTTAACGTCCTACTGTTCTGCTCCTAACCTGGGCTAATGAAGACGGGCATACGCCATACAGTGTGCTATGAGGGAAATTTTGCCCGGGCAGCGGGCTACGGCCTACTCTTATATCGAATATATAGATGTTTATTTTTAATCGCCAGTATGTTTAACATAGCATTTTCCGTTATCTCGTTATGACAGATGAACGCTAATTGATGTAAGTAATGTCCGACATTCGATGGTCTCGATCATTCAGACAGATATTCTACGAATATTAGTCTGGATGTGGTGTCAACATTTGGGAAAAACTGGGTCATTGACTAGATTTGTTGGCCCTTCATGTTATCAGGTGCAAAATCTACTTTTTTTTCAAAGCGTAATAAGGCCGGCAATAGGCATAAGACAAGATGTCGACGCCCATGAAATTAAATTGAGAATTGTCCTCTCTGAAAAATATTTGCATACTATATTAGTCTTGTTCAATACTCCAAATTTCTTTCTTTAAGGCTCATGTATGGTAGAAATTAATCCCAAGTCTTCGCCTCGATTCATGTTTATTGATAATAATGCATGAATTATGAGATTTATTTCGGGAAGGGACTCAACTCCTTTTTGACTTTAGTTGAAAAGTTTCATTGCACATGCGTAACCGGAAGTTTGTTTTTATGTGGATGATTATCCAGTAAATTTTGTTCAAATGCTTACCCACACCCTCCTCCGTATGTTGAAAACTGAGATTCTGTGCTTCCGAGACTGTACATTTGAAGCAGTGCATTGAGCACAGTGTTAGCGATTATTTGATTTTAAGGCATGAAATGAAACGAAGTTTAACACCTTTCTTTTTTGCACCAACAAGGATAATGAAAACGAGCTTACTTCATGTAGTTCGTTATGAGATAAAATGGGGTCTAGCGTCCTAACATTTTGCGACGATAATGAAGTCTGTGAAATGAAATGAAATACAATGATGTTTAACAGCCTACATTTCTGCTCCGATCAGACGAATGAAGACGCATGTGTGTACTATGAGATAATGTGTGCCCGGACAGCGACTTTACTATTCTTATATCGTTTTCAAACTGTAAGGAGACGTTTTAACGTATGTCTAATGGTATACACTGGAGCTCAGTTTCTCGTCTCACCCGAATGACAGGATGCTTTAGCTGCCTGTTAAATGCCATTGGTCTCCTGGTTAGTGGAATGAAATGAAATGGAACAGAATAGGACTTAACGTCCTACTGTCCTGCTCCGACTGGGCTACGGGTATATGCCATGCAGTGTGCTATGAGGGACATTTTGTCATTTTGCCTAGACAGCCGCGCCACAGCTTACCCTTATATCAAAATCCAACACTAATGTGTACACGTGACCTCGGTTTTTCGTCCCGTCCTGCAGCATTGCCATGGGGAAACCACGCCTGGAAATCCCGATGAATTTTCATGGCCAACACCCGGAGAGAATATATTGCTAATAAAACTCTTAACCTTCTCTTGTCACCATGATCACCACTGATCAGAAGTCTCGAATGAAAACTTTTCAGCCCCGGGGTCGCACGTGCGCTGCAGAAAGCAAACATTCGCCCGAAATAGACACCCATTTATGAATGAAGCCATGAAAAAAAGTCTCTTCTTTACGCGTTGGATTTTTAAAAATACCTGGCTAATTCGTGAAATATTTCTGGTGAATGTTTTTTTGGGCTTTCCTATCTTATGGCACACCATGGCGAAATGTCATCTTCTCGGATGAATCCCGATTCAACCTCAGTTTTCCTGATGGACGTCACCGTATCTACCGACGTCGACATGAAAGCCTTGCTCGTAACTGCGTGCTGGAAAAGGAACGTTTAGAGTGAGGTGGTGTCATGGTTTGGGCCGCTATCAACGTCACCTTCAGGTCCCAGTTGGTGGTGATCCAAGGCAATCTCAACGCTCAACATTATGTTGACGCCATCCTTCGTCCGGTGTTGCTTCCATTCGACAGATGGTCTTTCAGCATGTAGCGCCCGACCACACACTGGCAGGTTGACAAGAGACTTTCTGAACAATCATCATGTCCGTGTTATGGATTGGCCCACTATGTCTCCCGACATGAACCCGATCGAACACCTTTGGGGTGAACTTCGACGACGGGTTCAAACTCAAGCCGGGCCACCACGAACTGTTGCAGAGTTGGAACAGGCACTCCAAAATCATTGGCAAACAATCCCACAGCGAGTCAGACATCTGTGCCAGTCCATCCCAAGGCGACTTCAGACATGTGTAAAAGCTCAGGATGGACATACCCGATATTGACTTCACCTGACCCCTCCTTTGTTTCATGGTTCTCTGGCGTTTCGGGTTTGTGCATTTGTAGTGAATTCTTTCATGAAATTATCCACAGATGCTTGTTATCTCGATTTTGTCAATTGTTATGTACATTTGTTAAAAGTTCTTGCAGTAAATAAGCTTTGAATTTGGCATTGCGTTTTAATGGCTTTGAGTGGATCTTTTAAACTCACTCCCGTGGCAACTTAGCGCCACCACAAGATTGTGAAATTTAATTTTATTTAACTGTAAAGGTTAGCGAGTGCCCGTTGTATCATAAGGTCTATCATTGAGTTGACTGGCGTGGTTTCGATTCCCCGGTTGTACGTGACAAGCAGTAGGGTCACCTGTCCTTCCTCGTGGGTTTTCTTTGCGTGCGTCTTGGATCAGACGGTCTGTCATTGTGTCAAGTGGCGTGGTTTTAATTTCCGCTTGTACGCGACAAGGAGTAGGGTTGCTTGTCCTCCGGTTTCCTCCTACTGCTAAAGACCCCTATCGCAAGCGAATTATTGAAATAAAAATTGAACAATATGTTAGTCCCGAAGTCACCTGGCTTGTGTCGAGTGGTTAGTGGTCGCCTTGGTGAGTTTAGAAGTTACGTTGATGCTAGCCCTAAATACGAACATCTAAACGAAATCTATTCTCGTAATCTTGATTAACAAGACTTGTCTGATTTAAATTAAATTACGGTACTGGTCACAGCACTGGAATTCTAATCCTTTAGAGCGTACGACGTTTGCTCTGTTTTGGATGTGAATTTTGTTATAAATGTCTGTGATAATTATTGGAAACATAATAGGTTTCTTACACAGTATATAAAATAGATTGGAGGCTTAGTGGGGGGGTGGGGGGTGGGGTGTTCCATCAAATGGGCACAAAACCAGACCCAATTTTTCTATAGTAAAATTGTGCGTAGAATGCGATGCCGAGTGGTAATCAGTCCACCGTTGGGGCGTTTTCGAGATATTGGGGGTCAACGTCAAATGAGTTCATTGACACCTATAAATGAGGGTGTGAGGGCTAGAACATTCAGACACGCATTGGGTTCTGTAGACGACTATTTCAGAACAAAACGGAGGTCTCGTATATACATTGGCATGTACGTAAAAGATCCTTTGGCAATTGGAATCCCTATATTGGTGACTTAAAGGTCCATGGATTAGATGGCTCACTTTCAGTTAAGACAAAACACGTGGTTTTAGGATTGTATATTTAATGGCTTACACTTTACAACAAATTTATGAGGTCTTTTTATAAAGATGGGTTCCCGCGTACAAACTGGGTGATTTAATTGTATATATGGACTAAAAACATATTCAAACTAATTAATTTGTCATAACTTTGCTTAAAATCCTTCTCAAACATTGTAATTGCGAAGGAATGTCCTGCTATAAAAATTCGATCAAACCAGGTCATGTTTACGTCACGTGACTTACCTCTCTTGGAAGTCAGAGAATTCATTGCATACATAAGACGATGTTGTCTTTAATCGCTTACTATTTATTACAATTATCGAATCCTAATTAAATTCTCGGATTATCCACTATCCGCGTCTTTTTCCGTCATTTTTATCTCAGAAAGTGTTGTACGTCTAACTCTTCATAAAGTTTATCAAGCACTCAATGTTCGCGTGTGACCTTTGACATCACGCGTGCAGAAATTCCTAATCGTCGGGCTGTTGATTAGGGAAACCCTTACATTTTTGTCCTGTATGCGCTCCATGAGTGTTTTTCAGGGAATCCAGTATTCTTCTAGTAAAATTGGATATCTCTACTTTCCATATATACCAAAATACTTTTATTGGAAATAAACACCCGATAAATACTTTTCTGGGAACCAATTTTTAATTATAAAGAATTTGTAATTGTGACATTCGCGAAAGACGATTATTATTTTCATACAATATAAAAAAAGAAACACATATAAGCGAATATTTCATGAATTAAGTGAAGAGAAGAAATGTCTTTAAATGACATTTAAAATAGACGCCTTCTGGTATTATCAGCAAATAGCATTTCTTCGTTCCGATGTGAATTATCCGGTAGTTCTATTTTTTTGGCATTCGCCGTTTTGGGAGGATTACAGATACTGATTCAACTCTACTCGGGAAATATATTTCAACTGTTACACAGGCAAATATGACTTTTTATCAAGTCAAAAAGTTAATGGTAATCCAGAGAACATAGATCACATTTCCATATTAAAAAGGTGGTGATGTTTTAGAGAATGATATGCGACTAGATTGGGTGAGAAAAATATAGCAATGGGTGTATAAAAGAGATCACATAGATGCATTGCCATATAAAGGAGGTGGTGATGTTTTAGAAAATAATTAACGCCCTGACTGTGTGAGAAAATTAAGCAATGGATGTATAAAAGATTTACCTAAGTAATGATTAACGATCGAACTCGGTAACAACATAGCAGTGAGTGTATAAAGAGTTATGTAAGCTTTGTGACTACTATATCGCGTAATTGTGAACACGGGCGTTAAATACAGTTCCACGCACTATATTAAAGTCACGTATGAAACTGTTTCTTGGTGACGCTGAACAGCTGTGTTTTCCAAGATATTATCATATATAACAGAATCTTCCAGTGTTTCATTTCGATTTGGGTCATTTGTCTTCTTTTGTTTGCGCTTGTCTTGGGTACCAGGATGTCCCAATGTTTCGTTTGAATTATTGGCATTCCGTTTCTTCGTCTCGTTCATCTTGTAATCTCTAATGACGACTGCTAGTAAAGCAAGCAGGAGGAGGATACCAGCTACAATCCCAACCACCATGAAAATCTTTGAATTAGATGATGCTGTTACCGAAACAAAACCTTGAAATAAATCATAACACATCAATGTTAAAAATAATGATTGCTACTGTCGATTAATGTAGTTTTGTCTAGGTAATTTGAAAGTAAAATAGCCATTCAAAGAACTAAAGATAGAAACATACATTGTGCTACGGGGGAAATTAGCCTACTCTTATATCGAATTCCAACTGTCAAGAAATCTTTTACGTGCGCGCGAATGTATACACAGGACCTCGGTCTATTTTCTGGTTTTCGTTGGCGTGTAGTGCGGTACTCCACGCGCGTACAACCGAGCTGTAAATGATCATAGTTTCACACGGATAACTAATGATCATTTTTTATTTTGAAAGAATGTTATTGACATATTGTTACATGCCTTGAACTTAATCTACCAAACACAGTTTACAAGTTGGACGCGCGGTGGCTCAGTGTTTAACCCAGAGATCCGATGTTCGATCCCCGAGTTGGCCGAGAAAGTTCATCGGGGTTTTCCCTCGCGGTTTCACCTTGTCATTAGTACAGTACAGAGGGTCTGACAAGTGACGAAAAACCAAGGGCACGTGTAATAATTACACCAAATGATATTACCTTTTATTAGGTCCATTGCCGTGGAATCCAACATCATAAACGTCACCCATATTGCTAGTAGAAATAACTGTTTTTCTATAATTCTTTGTGTAAGAAAAATATCCAAATCCGTCTTTCAAAGAATAGTATACGTTTCCAGTTTCTTGGTCCACGCTAATATACTGAGTTAAAGGATCGACTGATATGAAAGACAAAATGGTCCGTTATATTTTTCAAAAGGAATCCACTGCCCACTGTTAGTGGGGTCAAATAATATGAAAAACAAAACCAGTGCTTATCAGGCAAGATATGCCAACATTTTGCAAGAGATGGATAGAGAACAAGCAAAAAAAATACGAATTTTTGTATAACCAGGGGCCATAATCCATTAAGTTACGGTCAGATATCAGGAATATCGGGTCGACATCCTTAGAATTACATACTTTTACACTTTTTGCGTTCAATCAGCGGCCATTTCGGTCCGATTTTTACGAAATTCAAACACAACCTTCATCAGGATGTAACGATAAAATATGTTAACGATTTTGAAAATCAGATAAAAAAATGCGACCTATACAGGATCCACAAGCTAAAAATGCCATAATCAAGGAAGATACGAACTAATATGCGTGACAGGCACAAAGGTCAAGTTTCATCAAAATCGAATAAAATTTGTGACTTTAAAAACATAATGGACAAATATTAGAGCATCTTAAACATACGTTATGCAAGAGCTAAATCTGCCTATTTTAAGTCTTTAATTAGGCCTTTATTTACATGACAAGTTCAAAATCAACACTGTAGACCCTCGGATGGCTTGGATGCAGCTTGGATTCAAACAGTCGTCCATTTAAAATTAAATCAATAAATGGCTGACCAAGTTAATTTAACCGGTAGTCGCTGACGTCACTACCGGAAACTGGTGATGAAAGGCCTGCCAGGCGAGAGTACTATTGCCATTTAGAATCGAGAATATGTGGGTGGAGTTATCGTCTGTCAATCAAACAATCGGCAATTCTCGTAGACGGTGCAGACATAGTTGATGCCTATTTCTAGTCCAAACTTCCAACAGTGACAACTTCGTTCAGAATAAAGTAATTTGAGAGAAATTTTCAATGTTTTCTTTTTTTTATCAGTGGTACAGGAGAACCTGGGATGAGACAACAAATGGCGTGCAAGTAAAATAACCATTGGCAGTTGGACTTTGATATAAGAGTACGCTGTAGTGCCGCTGACCGGATATAATGTCTCTCATAATACACTAGCCCGATTGGATTTGGAACCTGGATAGTCGATTGTTTCTATTTATCGCATTACAGGCTTTGTGTATTTATAAAGGAGGAAACACGCCGGAAATTTCATATGAACTTTCTCGGCCAACACTGATTTCGAGCCAGCGCCTTATTCACTTTGGCTACCATGGCTCCCGAACAGCTCCGACAAGTGCCTCCAATCGCACTGTACTTAAAAACATGATCGTATTTTTGATTTTAACAGATAGATAGACGCGAAAGGACACCTCGTATATTGACGTATTAGGTATCAATCATTATAATTCAAATGAATTCCTTAATTTTGCCGCTCCAAAAAAGGAAATGCAAAATGAATATATTGAAAATTTTATTCAAATTACTTTATTTTGCGCGAAGTTATCAATGGTTGTAGTTTTAACAAGATGCGTGCATTGATCGTAACCACTGTACTGGGTCATTCGTGTCTATTAGCCTCGCCTCTCCATTATTAAATTAAATTATTAAATGACCGAATCGTTCTAATCTACTTTAAATCGGAGAATCCAATGGCACCAAGAGTTGATAAACGTCTTGTCATGTTAATACATGTCTAATTAATAATTTATATAACATTTAAGGCCCACAAGAAAGACCTACACTAGGGAGACTTAGCTCTTATATAATGCCTGATAAACATTACATCTACCTTTAACTGATATGATTTTCCTACCTTTATCTGATATGATTTTCCCATTTCCACCATCCTTTTTCATGCAAAAAATCTTGTTTCTTGTACTTCTTAGTGTGTAGTAAATCAATTTTCTGTCATAATCACATGTCATTGCACCAACTGTAAATATAGTTAAGTATGTATCAATTTCGGGAATCTGGAGTCTTTATGTCTAATTATGACCGGTTATGTTAATCTTGCGTTCGTTCAAAGGAATACCGACAAAAACTGGAAGCGGTAAATCGCTTTCTTATGAATCTGTCCCGGTTATAGTGTCAGATCCAGTTTGTGTGCTCATCATCGAGCCTCTCAATTCTATCATGGACGAACAGAAGAAAAAATTAGAAGGTTTCGGCTTTCGATGCGCAGTGATCCACAGTGGGCAGGAAGATATCGACGTAAAAGCAGTAAAGTTTATTTTTACAAGCCCAGAAATAGCTGTAGGAGATACCAAACTTCGAAAACAGTTCTATACTACAGAATTTAAAGAAACCTTGAAGTTAATTGTTGTGGATGAAGCTCACACGGTTTTGCAGTGGTAAAAGTTGATTAATAATTTAATTGGCAATTTGAGGTGAAAAGCATTCTAATTGAACTGTTTTTCATATTTTGTTAGACACCGGTAGTTTTTTTTTCGGAATAAAAACAAATAGTAAGCTTATACATGCATAGTTGTAAAAATTGCGGAGGATAACACAAAACGTTTAAAAACATATTTCCATTATTGTCATTAATTTGTCTGCAGATGGGAGGGTGTGATGCAACAGTTGATCAATAGTAGTCCTATGATATATGTAGAGGTCTGTCCCTGAAAGCCATCACAAAAATGTTTAGCTAGTGTTTGAACCCCCTGTCGATAACATGTCCTTGAAAAATCAGGGAAGCAATATTTCTGGGGGGACAACCATGGCCGCATTAACATATTATGGGGCCTGGGGCAGAATTTAATCGTGGGGCCCCTTACCCCCCCCCCCACCAACATCTGACTGTGTACGACCAAACTTAAGGCGGTAGCCTACATGTCACCCGTACGGTCGATGGCGCCTCTCTCCCTGTGACTAAGTGACACTAATATATTCATTTCATTTTCATTTTTTGCAAAAACATGCGAAATGGTTTAGGTAAAATTGATAAAAACAATAGTAAGTGTTTTTGTACACTCTTCATTTTAAAAATCTTGTTATTGCAGGGGTGAGAGCCATGAAGGAAACGACCCATTCCGTGAATACTTCTCAAGGATAGGAGAGTTGAGGTCAGTCTTTCTGAATGTACCTGTCATGGCATTGACGGCAACAGCATCACCATTAAAAAGAAAACGAATAATGAAGAGTCTTTGTTTGAATGACTGTGTAACCATTTTGGATTCTCCAGATAGGACAAACATAAAAATATCCACTGCAAAAATTTCAAATATATCAAAAGCACAGGATTATTTTACTCCTCTTTTAGATGATGTTGAAACACAGAAAGACAGCTATCCGAGAACACTTATTTTTGGTACATTGATTAATGACTGTGCAAAGGTATATATTTATTTCCTTGAACGATTTGGTCGTCAGAGTACTTTATTCAATATGTATCACAGCGAAACAAAAGATTATGTAAAGGCATCAATAAGAGAGGATATGAACTTAGAAAATGGCAATATTCGTGTGTTGATCTGCACGAATGTTGCTGGAATGGGAGTGAATTTCCGAGGTGTCCAGCAAATCATTCATTATGGACTACCTCGTGATATGGATACTATCAACATAATTTAATTTGACAAATTATCAGTATTTCAAAACCCTGGCACTATCCAACTTCAACATGAGATTGCGTTCGGGTACTACAATCACTGGTGTACCAAACTGAGGAAGCGCCAAACCAACGTTGTCTTCATCATTCTAATCTCACCACTAGGCACTCGTAAAACTCTTCATCATTGTCCTATTTGTAGAACAGTATTACGTAATTTTTGAATGGCCCCGAACATGAAAATTAAACTTGAAAATGCAAACCTTGAACATGGTAAACATAAACCAAAACTATGAACTGTTGAACTCTAAATGGGAATAAAAATACCAAGCAAAGGTTCATCATACGATGAAGACCCTCTGGTCTGTGAATTACTCCTGTTAATCTGTCTTTCTGAGTATCATGATTAAGCATTGCCATTTGGGCAGCATACGCCCTCTCATTAGTCAGACAATCACCACCAAAGACAATTCTGTTGGCTACGTTAGTAGAATCTTCAGTTTGAGCTATAAAATTTTCATGGATGTGTTCCAATATGTGTATCATTTCTGAAGATTTGTTCTCAGACTTATCCAAAAGATCAAGTATCTCAAACTCTGACTTCTTTGAGGTTTCTGTTTGAAATGGGTGTGGAATGTTTTTCGGTAAACAGTACTGAAAGTTTTTGAGTTCAGGTATGTATTTGACAAGAACTTGCATGATATGAAACTAGTATACCGTTGCTTCAGGAACATGAAAACTAGCGGGAACGCAAGTTTTCAGTAGAGCGAAGATTGGAGCGGAATCGGTAGGTAGTGGACAGTGTCTAGGTGTCTAGTTGGTGTCTTGGATTATTGTAAACCGCTTTTGGGGCAGTTGTCGTGAGCCCGATATTAGGGTATTGTTAATAGTATTGTGCATCAGTCTACGACAGAAGAAAGACGAGGATAGGAAGATTAGGAGAGTGGTCGTTTCGGACTGTGCATATATATTAAAATTCACACGTGTTCAATCCCTCTGTGTAAAGTACATATTGGATTAGCCCCTTTAGTTACCTTAACTTAATTGTTGAGCACCAGTGCCTTATCTGAAGTCACCGACGGGCTCTTAATTACATGCGGCGTAACCCGGTTGCAGCTAGGCCCTGCATGTGGCTACTAGACCTTGTGCCTTGTCTCCTTCGGAGAGTTTTTGTTGCAGGTATTACCCGTTTAAGGTGTGAGTGCCTAGGTACTAGACATCAATTGCCTAGGTACAGGTGTGAGACGTTCTGCAAATAAGATTATACATGGATTAGCAGAGTTCCTGTTAACGTCGCTACTAAAAAGGATATTTTACCCGTGTACATAGTCGCATGCTTATTTCGCCGTGTTATATTATTTGTATACTTTTTATTTATTGTAATAAAGTGTACATAGTCGCATGCTTATTTCGCTGTGTTATATTATTTGTATACTTTTTATTTATTGTAATAAAGTGTATGATCTTTAAAACTTGATGATTGGTCGAAACAAGGTATATCGAGCTGGGGTTAACTTCGAGTCAAGACATTCATTCGGGTTAGGGGATTGGATTTGGGTCCAAGCGAGGTGATCAGTAAATTAATAGTCACTTTTTAGCTGCCCCGTTATTCTGTAGAGACGTCGTGGCCCGAGGCGAGGCTAAGAAAAACCACTCCCTCGGATAATTACCAGTAGTCCGCACTACTGTCCTATTTTGGAAGAAGAGTGGCCATTGGTTGGCACATTTTCAACAGTATCAGGTTATGAATTTTCAATATCATGTAGAACGAAACATTGAAGGAAAGGCAATATGAAATTAAACAATAAATATTTCCACTGTATGATTGTCCTTTATTTTTACTGTTTGTTACACAAGGATTTACTCGATTGTTTGGGCTTTGTGTCGGGTATGTGTGCGTCATTAGCATTTTTAGAAAGATACCAAAGTTTCAACGACTTAATCCACGCTAAACTTAACTAAGTTTATTTAAGCCTAGCTCAAAACCCGCCGTGCGAGTTACTACGGGAACTATACAGGGAGACTTTAGTAAACCCATACACAAGACTTATGCGTCACTTGCGTGTGTTCGGCGCCGTTGAAGATCGCAGACTGGTCGTAGAGGCTTTTGGTCCTGCATATACAAACTTATCACCCGGTTTCTTGCGGCTGGTCTGCGAGCTACCAAACCCCACGACCCGTGCGTGTCAAAACATTTACGGCGGATTGTGAGCTAAGCTATGGTTAACATTCAAATAAAAAACTAAAATATATATCAACAGTAGTTCTCCCGGCTTGGATTTATATCTTTGTAAAAGCTGAACTTATTTCAACCACGACTTAATCGACGATAAACTCTATTAAAGCGAGAATTTCAAATTTTCTAAGAAAGTCAAAACCTAATTATTTCTATGTCTTTTGCTCAATAGGTTATCAAATCACTATTATACGATCATGGGAATTATTTTCCACCCTTAAAAATCTATGACACAGGAATTAACAACACAATTACTTGCCCTGTTTTGCTATTGACAACATGGGGCAGCCATTTTCCAACGTTGGAATTTGAAGTTAAAAATGATATTTTTGCCAATTTCTCGGCTGGCAATAGCGAATTATATGATTAATAGGATTATTCTTTAACAAGGTAGGACTGTTTATGGATACCATCTATTTTAAGGCTTTATTTTAATACATTTTAAAAATATAACTTGAAAATTTGCAATTGCAACTTTAAGATTGATTAGTTAAAGACACTAAAATTATCAACAATAGTTCACCAGGCTTGGATTCATATCTTTGAAAATGCTGCACCTTTTTCAACCACGACTTAATCGACGATAAAATCTTAAGATTTATTAGTTAAGACACTAAAAATATCAACGATAGTTCACCAGGCTTGGATTTATATCTTTGTAAATGCTTAAGTTTGGACTGATATTGCTTTTAGAGATTCAACTTACTCAATGACTCTGTTAGTCTGTGTTTAGTCCTGCGTCAGTCAATATTGTTGTAGACAACGATATTTGAACCTATAGAGATTAAGAGTTGCCTGTTGCCAATGTCTGGATTTTTGTAATTACAAATATTTTTTTCTCATCTTAATTGCTTTGGCGTGAAGGACTTTAGCTATTGTCTCCTTTATTCATTATATATAATTGAATATAGAAAATAACCCCAATTAGAAATCGGAGACTGCGTTCTAAACGGTGTGATTGACATTCGGCCTGGCGGATGCAGGAAAGAAACCTATTTCAAGAGAACAATATCCTGTTGGATTTCTATGTTCGAAATCCAAAATTCTGAATTTCTATTGGATCCGTTCGAATAAACCATACGAAAACTTCTATTTAAAACACCATTTCTAATCATTGTGGGGTCGACACCATTGACTTCGCAACAAATAACTTTTATAAAATATTAGCGGTTGCCGGGCGCGACACGGGTTGTGCATCATAACTCCGAAACGACAGTCATAAATATTAGTATAGATAATTTATGCCATTAAATATCAAATTCGTCATTTTATATAAATAATGTTTGTTAGTTAAGATACATTATGGGAGATAAGATAAAGAGATGGCAGTTCTCGCTATAATAGTTAAACACTAGATAGTGTAAAGGTAATTTGCTGAAAATTTCAGTCAAATTGATCCACTATGAGCCGAGAAAGAAGCGGGTGAAATTTATGCATAGTCTCGGTCATCATTACTAAAATCATTAATATAAACAGCATAGTCTCGATAATCCACTTTTATTGATTTAATTATCAATAGCCGTTAGCGGCATATAGGAATCTAATCCAGCCAACATCGAAGGCTAGCCTTGACATCGAGATTTTATTATGGTCTGGATAAGTTAATTAATGTCTAATTGATAATTTAGATAGCATTTCAGGCCTAAAGAAAGACTTGTAATAAGCAGATTTTGCTCTTCCATAATGCATGTTTAGTGAAAATTGGTAGTAATCTGGCTGTAGTCATGTCACTAATGTTTTTCATAATACTCGAAATTAAAAACAGGATTTAGAAATCAATATTGATCAATCCCAATCACGTGTACCCCATGGTTTCGGGTGCCATTCTGTAATGAACAAATAATCATAACCTACAACACAATGAGGAAGCAATTAGTAAAGGCTGATTCACAAACAAAATAATTTTATAAAAAAAGTGTAGAATGCACTAAGCAGGTGTAAACGACTGTCGTTCAATTTAAACAGTTCACGTATTTCACCGAACATAATTGATTAGAGAGAGAGAGAGAGAGAAATGGGGTTTAACGTCCACTCGACACAAACTAGGTCATTTCGGGACTAACATATGGTTTAATTTTATTTACATAATTCGCTTGCGCGTAGGGGCCTTTAGCAGTGGGAGGAAACCGGAGGACCCAGAGAAAACCCACGAGGTTGGACAGGCGACCCTACTCCTTGCCACGTACAACCGGGGATTCGAAACCACGCCAGTCGACTCAATGACAGACTTTATGATACAGCGCGCGCGCGCACGCTAACCATTCAGCCATCCAACCCCCCTAATTGATTAGAAATTACAATATGTTTTTCAAAAACTGAATATAAATCACTTTCATTCATATTGCATTAATATGTGCTTTTAGAACCATTTTTGTTTATTTCAAGGCTCCAAACAATAGAGCCATATTCCCTTTAAAGAGCACATGCAATGAACAAACATTATATAGTTGGTGCTAGTGATTACTTTATAACAATCCCACATCAAATCTGATTAAAACTCTTCAATATATTGCCTTGTTTGTCATATGCTCTAAAACACTTGAATTTTTCGACTACAACCTTTAACGTTGCTAAATCGCTAATATATAGGACCTAGAAATTGACACAAATGGGTAGCAACGCTTATAATAATGTAATATGAATGTATATAAACTGATTTACATTTTACTCTTAATTTCAAATCCGTTATGATCGGCGAAACACGCCAGAAGAATCAATCGAATGATAATCTCTAGCGCCTGGTTATGCCAATCTACACCGGTAGTATTTATTCTGCGTGCTCTCCAG